ATATATATATATATATATATATATATATATATATATATATATATATAACGGTCAAAATATTTTGACTGTTGAGTGAATAGCAATATGATTGTTGAGGCTAATTTTTTGTGCTACATATCGCCCACGCACCCGGAGAGACAATCTCCTGCAGTGGCGAAGCCACAATGGGGGTATAGGGGGTAGCTGCCCCACTCCCCCACCTATCCCATTTATATATATTGTATGTATAGGTCCTTTGTATGTATATAGTTAACTTATAAGTATTAAATTTACAGAAATTTAATTAAAAAATGAGTTAGTTTAGATGGTAATACATTTAGTTTTTCCCTAGATTAGTATTTTCACTCGTGCGATGCATGAAATGGATTTGTTATAATTTATTAAAAATATTTGAATCGATATACAATTATTTAAATTATAACATCAAATATAGAGTATTATATAGTGCAATTGAAGATATGATTTCGATCGTTTATGTTTGTTGATGTTATCAATGCTTGAATTCGAGCAAGTAATTGAAATTAATAGTTAATGTGTAGATGTACACATGCAGTGCTGTAACTTTAAAGATTTTTATATAGAGTTAATTACTGAAATGGTCCCTTGACTATATCGAAATTACCAAATTGGTCCTTGACTATTTTTTTGACCAATTAAGTCCCTCAACTTTAAAAATCTTAACCAATTTGGTCCTCTATTTGTTTGACCGTTAGTCAACCATTAACTTTGGACCAAATTGGTAATTTTGCTATAGTCAAGAGACCATTTTGGTAATTAACTTTAGGGGTGCACAATTCGGTTCAGTTTTCTCGAACCGAACCGAACTAGTTTGGTTCGGTAATATACCGAACGGTATTGGATGCTTGTATACCGAACGGTTCGATAAAAAATCGATCTGAACCGATCCGAATTGTTCGGTAAAAAATTGAACTGAACCAAATACCGTTTGATTTTTTAAAAATATAATAATAATAATAAATAAATAAATAAATAAATAAATAAATAAAAAGTAAAAATCCAAGTCCCTTGTTGCTTGCTCTGTCGTTCAGCTCATATTCTCACGGGTATCTCTTGTAAATGTTTTATTTGATTTCTTTATGGTTTGTTATCAAAATTTATATATTATGTGTTATGGTGTTTACATAGTCCAAATTCAAAGTCTAATATATAACAAAATAGCAATTCAAATTTCAAACGGTATTCGATTCGGTTCGATTTTTACCGAACAACTCAGTTCGGTTTGAGTTTTTACCGAACCGTTCGGTATACAAGAATCTATTGCCGTTCGGTTGTTTAGTATATTATCGAATCTAACTAATTCGGTACGGTTCAATTCTAGAAAACTGAACCGAATTGCACACCCTTAAAGTTAATTACCGAAATGGTCCCTTGACTATAGCGAATTATCAATTTGGTTACAAGTTAACGGTTGACTAGTGGTCAAACAAACAGAGGACCAAATTGGTTAAGATTTTTAAAGTTTAGGTACTTAATTGGTCAAAAAAATGGTCAAGGACTAAATTGGTAATTTCACTATAGTCAAGGGACCATTTCGGTAATTAAATCTTTTTATATAACCTTGTTTAGGATTTTTATAAATTGAGCAAATGTGCTCGTTCTCTAGTAACTTAGTTATAGTAATCAATTGCTATCCTAATTCATTTGTATAAAGGATATATTTTTGTCTAGATATATAGCAATTTTGTCATTTTGAAAAAAAAAACATAATATCATCGATTGTATTTACGCATTATTGAAAATCTCTTTGTAGACGACATTGGTAGTCGCAACACAATCTCGTCCATCATTGTCTAGAGCTAACACCTCCAGGCCATCAGGATGGGTGACTCGAGAGAAAGCCACGTACAACTGTTCGTGATTAAAAACCGATGTTTTTAGCATTAACCCAACGTAATTTAGTGTTTGACCTTGGCTTTTGTTGATAGTCATGGCATATGCAAGCATCAACGGGAATTGTTTACGCTAGAACTTGAATGACAATCTCGTATCAAAAGGAGTGAGAGACATTCAAGGGATAAGAACTTTGGTTCCTTCATGTGTTCCATTAACTATTCTTGCTTCGACAATGTGATCTACCAATCTTGTGATGATGAGTCGCGTCCCGTTACAAAGACCAAGAGAGTGGTCTATGTTCCGCAATAACATAATAGGTGCACCGACCTTTAATGTCAATGAATGACTATGAAGACCCGACGATCTGAAACTATTTAAAAATTCAGGAGTGTGTACTTCTAATAGATTTTCACTGTCTGATTTTGCCTTACACAAAGAGTCACAACTTAAATATATTCGTCCTTCTGCAGTGTTCATGTCGCACATGTACTGATTAATTTGATCAACAAAATCTAAAGTCAGCGAGAAAATTGCTCGGCCTTCTAGCTGCGACTCATCAAGCATGCAATATCTCGAGCTTGGGAATGTGTTTTTCACTATAGTTGCTATAGGACTGTGTCCATATTTCAACAAAGACTGTGTCGGAATATCGATCTCAAATGAACCGCTGTTTAGAACCCTTGCAATCCCATCTCCGATATTTGTAATCCATTTTGAAAATGAATTAATCATCTGTCTATGTTCCTCTGAAGCTAAGGTTCGTAGTCTCAAGTTCTTGGTGAGTCTTAATACCTTTCAATTTATCCACAGGTATAAAGAATTATTATTTGTTCCGACAACTACTGGTTTTGTTGCTTTCGGAATAATAGGTAGGATCTGTTTAAAATCGTCGTCCAAAACTATTGTCTTTTCACAAAAAGTCTTTTCAGTACTACCCGGTATGGCAAACCTCAATAGATCCCTCATGGTTTTGTCCAAAGTCTCAAAATAGTGTTTGTGCGTCATTAGTGCTTCATCCCATATCATCAATTTTCTCCTTGTTATAAGCTCAGCAAGGTCACTACCTTCGTATATATTGCATGTGGGATGGAATCTTCGTTCAAGGAGAGTGGTATAGCAAATATGGAATGCAACGTCCTACCTCTCGACAAGAGCAAAGATGCTATTCCACTGGAAGCAACATTAAGAACAATATCACCGTGTCTCCTTATCTTTGACGATAACATTCTCCACACGAACGTCTTGCCTGTTCTTTCGTAACCATACACAACGAATAATCCATCTCCATTGGAATCAATATCATTCATCACAGAGTCGTAAACATTCTTTTGCTTGTCAGTCAATTGTGTTACCAATTATTCATGCTTTGTCTTCAACGATTCCTTGTCATACGCCAACTCTTCAGCTATCAACTATGCTAGTTTCGTTTGGAATTGGCATTTCTAAAAAGTCCTCCAGGCTCCCCACAAAGATAGCAACTTCTCCAACTCCATGAAAGCAATAAAAATGGGGGGGGGGGGGGGGGGGGGGGGGAGAGACAAAAAAATAAATAAATTAGTTTATTTAAAAATAATGAAAAGTAAATAACAAATTCAGATAAATAGATTGGAGTAAACTAAATATCATTGATTCAATATTGAGTAGTGACGGAAAAATAAGAATAGAAATTTTAATATTGTTGTATTTTTAATATTAAATATATTGCACAATATAATATTTGTTGTTACAATTTATATAATTGTATATCGATTCAAATATTATTAAAATTATAGTACTTTCACTCTTGCTTTGCACGAAATTGATTTATTTGTTATAATATTTAATAATATAATATTTGAATAGATATACAATTATATAAATTATAATAACAATTATTATATTGTGCAATTGATGAAATATGTTGGATCGATTATGTCTTTTGATGTTATCCTTGCTTGAATTCAAGCAAATAATTGCCCAATTATCCATGCGATGCACGAATAAATTTTTTATTATATATTTAGATAATAAAATTAAAGATGAAATTATAAACAATTCTAATATTTGAATATGTACATTTATTTGATTATACGATTATTGTAAAAGTATCACTCAATTAATTGAATAATATATGACTCATTTATATGCAATTATCTTAAAAAATCGATATGTAATATAATTTATGTAACTATATTATTACTAAGATAAATATTAAAAAAAAAAGATAAATAATTTAATTGTAATTATTATAAAAATAATTCCAACGATAAATGTTTAACTTAATTACCATAATAATTATTAGTCAATTATACTAATATATGTTTGTATATATATATATGTTTGTTGTGGATAGTGCGCAATTAACCACGTGGTAGACATGCATCCATACACTCCATGTAGCAAGGATTTAATCCATTGAATCATCTGTTTTGAACATTCATTTTTGCCTTTTCTCTTTCAATTCACACAAATACAGTAGGAATAATGAAGCGATGGACAATGTTCGGCAACAATTGACGATATAAAGCTACCGCCGGTGTGGTTCCTGAATGGAGCATTAACTCTAGGAATGATTGATTTCTAGTGGACGATGAAAATACCACTCTAACGAACCAGGCAATTTTCCATATTCGTTGCAGTTGTATTGTTCATTGCAAGTCTTTTTCTTACCCATGCAGATAAAGGCTTGTCGGACAAAGAAAAAAAAAATAGAATATAAATTTTACCTGATTGAAAAGTCAAGCTCCAAATTTCTCTTCCTCAATCTTATGTTTCAGTCTTGGTGATGGAGTGTTGGGTTTTGGGCTATATTTGTATGTGATTTAGGAGTGTTTGAATACAACATGGAGTTGAGAGATTGAGTTTGATTTTAACTGGGTTTATTAGTGTTGCATGAAATTATGTTTCTTCTATGTGATTGACGGAAGATACAGGCTGGGGAATTAAACAAGCATGTTTTTAAGGATTTTTTATTTAAATCTTAATAATTCAGGCAAACAGTTAAGTGTTAATGTGAGTTTGAAATTTAGTAAATTTAACAGAGAATTAATGGAAAATTATAAAACTAATAATGGAGAATATAATTTTTAATAGGAAAAGGAATAATATATTATTCTTGAATATAAATATGAATTTTAATATACTTTTGAAAGGAGCCAGCATGGCATTTATTCAAAATGCTCTGAAACAGAGTCTGGAGGGACAGAGTCCCAGTACATAGCAATAGATTGTGTAAAAGCAGACGAAGCTAAGGTGTGAACTAAAAAGTTATCTATTCTAGGAATAAAAACAACTGAACAATAATCAAAAGAGATAATACGAGCTCTGCAGGCATCAATAGCATAACCGAGATATGACCGGACAGGAGTAGTTGCGGATGTCAGGTATTGCTGTAGTGTTAAGCAATACGTGAATAGGTCTAAAGAACGTTCTCCATGGTTCCATAACCATGACAAGACTTCCTTGCCTGCAAAAGCCTCGGCCATAAGTGGGGAGGAGCAGCTTGGTAATGGAGCATTCAATGTCGAGATGTACCTTCCTTCGTCGTTTAGGATAATCGCCCCGACAGCGGGCTTGTCTGCATCGTGCCAGTAGCCAGCACCGAAGTAACATTTCTTCCGCCCTATAGCAGTTGCGACCATGGGGTTCGGCAGTACAGGTGTGCGCCCAGCAGCAGCAATTTGCTGTGGTTGTTGCGTCGTTCGGCTGTGAGACGGCGTGGCTGCATTGGAGTTCGGAACTACAGGAGCTGCAGACGCGGTATGCTAGGTCCGATCGGGCCTGGTGCCTTTTCCGGAAACATTGCAAATAACGCTGATTTCACCTCTTCGCCCTCAAATGGGTGCAGTAACGCTTCATTCTGCATCTGTGTCACTCGGGACAAAACATTCTCATAAAAATCATAAAAATCCCCATCATTCTCAGATTGGCCTAAGCTGAAAATATTACGATAATAATCCAGAATAACAGTTCTCATGGCCTCCCCCTCCACCAAATCCCCATCATTATTCATAATTTTAGAAAGAGTATTCTTCTTTTTACGGTGAGAAGCATACCTGTGGAAGAACTTTGTGTTTGCATCTGCGTCCCTTGAGCCAGCGTTGCTTGGCCCTCTGCCTCCAGTAAGTATCCTCCTGTATCTTAGTACAAGTCAGACACTCCTCCAGACGTTGGAATTCAGCAAGTGATGTCAATACAATCCCCGTAACCGCAATTTCTCTTTCCAAAGATTCATAGCATGCTCACCAAATTTATGGAAACGGTCGCCTCCCCATTGTGATAATTTATTTCCACATAACTCAATACAATCCTACAATCCCCTATGCCTCTCCTGGTCCCACGTTTTTTCCACCACATCCCTGCATCTCTCATCATGAAGCCAGACCATCTCAAAACGGAACCCTCTCTTCCCACCACCTCTCCTTCCCCGAAGATTCAGAATTCTAAGGAAAAGAGCAGAGTGATCCGATGTTCGGGTTAAAATGTTCAATACACTAGCTTCCTTTACTATCTCATGCCACCTTTGAGTAACCAACACCTTATCCCGCCTTTCTTCAATCCAGTTCACTGTTCCCTGCCATTTCTCCCATGTATACGGATAACCCATCATTGGTAATTGGGACAATCCATAATCATCAACCGTGTCCCCAAAACCACGCAGCAGTGTATCTGGGTGGGGGTTCCCTCCCCGCTTCTCATGCTGAAAGAGGAGATCATTAAAATCTCCTATGACAACCCCCAAGAGAGGTCATATCTATGAGATAATGATTTGATGAGTTCCCAAGAGTCACTCTGCCTTGTCCGCTCAGGAAAGCCATAATAACCTGTCATTCTCCATTTATCAAAACCAGGAATATTTACCTCCACATCCACATGATTCTTCGAGAAACTTAATAATCTTGCTGTATTATTCGTTTTCCATAATAAAGCCAATCCGCCACTCAGTCCAGTATTGTCAACATAAAAGAGACCATCAAAACCAAGCTTCACCAGGAGTCGTTCAGCATGATCCCGGCCAACCTTGGTTTCCATTAAAAATACAAAATCGGGTTTCTTACGGGACACCAGGTCCACAATTTCTCGAACTATTCATGGATTACCCAAGCCACGGCAGTTCCAGCTTAGGGTACTGATGATGATGGGCGGGTCTGGGAACCAGTACCCGCCATATGCAAGTTTTTTGATAGATCAACCACAGTAACATCACCACTCCCCTCCTCACGGTGGCGTTTGGCCACCGCCTCCACAGCAATCTTGGCCTCACGGTGCATGTAACATCCCTAATTTTTTGATATATTTAAAACCCATAAAATAAAGGCTAATCCATTATTATTTCCAATCCAGAGCATAAGCTAGTCATATTAGTCGGGGTGATATGCTACATCTGAGCTAGAGAACTCAGATGCACAGGCTAAACTATCTAACAAAGCATAAGCCACAATTAATATCTAGATACAAGTCGAGGCACGCAGGCCATCTCATCAAGGTTAGAACTATATAAAATGAGTCCACGAATCCAACTAACGTGCTCCAAAGCTACTCGACTGTCCCTGAAAAACATTCGATGTAACAACTGATAGCGAATAATGCTGGTAACCCACTCCAACGCGTTAAGTACAGTATAAGTAGATATAAGAAACTCATTTTGAAACTGGAATACATATATACTTACTAGACTCTAGTTTAAATCCAAGATCAAGACTCAAGACATAGTAACAGACTCAACATCATAGAATAATCATAAGAACTAACAGGCACCCTAAGCATGCAATACGAGACATGACAGGCAGATAAGCATACAAATAACAAGTAGAGGCAACGAATGCATTCAATACAATCAATTAGCAAGTAGTCATCAAAACACACAATTCATCCTCCAACCTTACCTTGTAGCTCCCCTCCGTCTTTATATCTGTTCCAACCTATACCTCCAGGCCACCCTTATATCACCACCCCTTATGCCTTCGGGCAACTACATGCCCCCACTGACGAACCGCCTATCAACCACCAACATATCAAGATGGTTCCGCAGTGCCATTCAATGATCCGCAACTCTAGTGCCAATATCAAGGGGTTCGCTCATATAGCTCTAACATGACATTGCAGCACTTATAACCTGACCCGTGCTCAACGGCAAGCAAGTCTAAGGTGGATGTGTGCCTTCAGCACAGTCACCGCTATGGCCTGTACCTTTAGTACAATGACGGGGCACAAGTGGTGCCAATCTCTAACAATTTATTATCACCAATCACAATCTCATCATCATCATCAGTCACACCGGTCATTGCGCAATGACCACGATATTCATCAAGTCATCATCATTCATTCAAGTAACACATAACCAAATAATAATCAAGACAGAACAATGACACGTAATACTATGGATGGCAATGGGTCGGGTGTGGGTCGGGGAGGGCTACATCCATCACCCGACCCACCTTATATTTTCTCCACCCTCCCCTCCACCTCCAACCCGCATCGGGTGGACTTTTTCAAAACCCACCCCACCCCCACCGGGTGCGGGTGCCCACTACGGGTACCCACCACTAATCATCTTATTATTTTTTTCAAAAAAAGTATTAACTTACACATAATAAAATAATAAAATTCATTAGTGATATTAAAACATAAAATAATAGAAATATTTAAATATAATAACTAAATGATTAATTTTTAAAATAAACATAGTAGTTTAGATATAAAATTAGTAAAAAGATACACGAAGTTATATAAACTTTTATATATAACTACATACTAGTACATATTTTACTATTATATATATACACATACTGACATACATGGTGGGTCGGGTGGGGTTCTAAGCAAATTTTGTACATAGAACCCGAATCCAACCCGACCCACTGCAGGTTTACTTTTTTAAGACCCACCCCCGACCCACCACCCACCATCACCCAAAAAAACCCGATCCATGTAGGGTGGATTCGGGTGGATATCCGCGGGGCGGATTGAAATTGCCATCCCTACGTAATACACATAAAATTCTAGAACGATACCCAAAACACCAAACGAGACTCATACACGACAAACGGGGTACAACGGGACATGGGGAAAATCGTCACGACGCACCGCTAATTTCCAGCGGGTGGGCGGCATGTGGAGAACCACCCGCCGGAGGCGGTCCACAATCCAGCGGGTAGTCGCCTGCCCACTGGAAATCGGGCAAGGGGCAACGGGTAGGTGCCGGGCACTCCTGCCCCCACCTACCCCCCCACTGACTCACAAGCAACTTCTGGTCCCGGGATCCCTCGTGGAACTCGAAATCATGTCCAGACACATTCAAACACATAACGACAACACCACGGATTCAATTAACAGAATTAAATCAAGAATCACACCGAATACATTCTAACACGGAGACTATGTTGCTGTCTCCGATCCTGGCTTTGCTTAGGGTGAGGATTCTTCCTTGAGTAATCGGTGTCGTGACCTTGGGGGGTGAGACGGTCCTGGAGCTTTTAGGTCCTCGGGTGGGATTTGTGTGATTCCCCTCAGGTTTCCTTTTGTACCCCAGGTGTGTCTCCCGGGGTTGGTTTGTTACTTGTTGTAGTTGGAATGCCTTGGCATAGGCTTCCCCGAGGATCCTTGGTTCTTGTGTGGCCAGGGCTTTCTGGTGTTCGGGATTAAGGCCTGTTATGAACTTCTTGACCTTGATCATCTCGGTGGGTACTAGCTCGGGGGTGAGGCGAGCCAGTCTGCGAAATTGCTAGTAGTATTCCGTGATCGGGGCTGCCCCTTGTTTTAGGTGGAGGAACTCTTCGTATATGGTGGCTTTTAGATGGTCGGGATAGAATTGTTCTCGCAGCCGTGTTTTTAGGGTTTCCCAGTTGAATTCGGGGCTTTGTTCGTATGTGGGTCTCTCGTGGACCCACCAGGTGTCGGCCTCGTGTCTGAGGTAGAAGGAGGCTATTCTGACTTGGTGGTTTTCTGGGCATTCGGTTGCCCGGAATATCTTGTCAAAAGTTCCAATCCATTCCTCGAGGATCGTGGGGTCTTCGTTCCCCGAGAAGGTGGGTGGTTGATGCGCCGAGACTTGGTGGTGGATTTCCAAGTTCTCGTTTGTTGGTAAAGGTTGGGGAATGGTAGTACTCAGTGCCTGGGAAATTTGGGCTAGGCGTTGTAGATTCTGAGTCAAGAATTCCTGAGTGGGGAGTTTCGGTGTTCCTATTTGTCTCCTTTTCGGTGCCATCCTGGTGTTCATAGGTCGATGTTATTTTGCATTCTTACCTTGATGCAATAAGTGAAGGGGGAGTTTCTTTAAGTCAGAGAGGGATTAAGTGAGGGAGTTATGTGTAGGTTTCACAGTCTCACCGCGCGTCCTACGATTCCTAAATCCTATGTTCCTAAGTACCTAGAGTTTAAGCTTAATGTCCTAAAGTCTGGTCTTAAGAGTCTTATCCTAGGGTCAAACTTAGGCTCTAATACCAACTGTAACACCCCAGATTTTCGAAACTTTTGAAACTTATATAAAGAAGGTAAAATCTCATTAAATCCCAAAACATAATATAAAGAGTACGGGGTGCTATGCCACACCTGAGCTAGAGAACTCAGGTGCACAGGCTAACTAACTAATATCCTCAACAAAGTGAATGCATAAACGTGGCACGCAGGCCGAAAGGGAAAC